CTCAGTTGCCAGGAAGCCTGTCCCCTGATAGAATTATAATGTGAATGGATACAGTCACGTGGAACGCCGAGGCTTCGCTGACGAAGGGGGCAGCAGGGGGCAGCAGAGAGCAGCAGTCGGGGGCGGACCTGGATTGCACGCGCCCCACTCACTGGAGTGGGATTTGTGATTTCAAGCTACCGGCTCTGAAGCTCAGAGCTTGAACTATAAAATGGGGATAACAAACCTTGCCTTTTAAGGTTGCTCTGAGGATTAAACGCCATGCAAGCGCCCGACACCACCGTCCCTGGGCATGGCGGGTGCTTACGGTTTGGGAGCTGTCGCTGTACTCAGAAGGGACTTTCTCACTTCTGACTGCAGGGAGCTCGGTGCATGCCCCAACTTTGGCCTTTGCTAATAAAGAGGCCTTAGTCAAACAAAACGTGGACATCGAGGAAGGATACTTCTGGAGGGAGCAGCAAGGCCTGTGCGCGGGCTCAGGCTGCCCAGGGAGCAGCGACGAGCCCAGCCGGTCTGGAACAGATGTCCGAGGGCAGGCGCAGTGCACTGAGTGTCCAGCTGGCCGCGGGCGCTCACGGTCACTGGAGGGCCTAGCACCTGGTTCTGTGCTCTCGGGGGAGTCTCTGAAGGAGCTGCCACACTGCCCTCCCCCACCCCCCCAAGCAGGGTGGCAGCACGAGCGGGAACCCGCAGGATGGCCTCCTGTGTAGGACAGTGGACGCTCCAAAGAGGCCCTTAGAGTTGTGTTTAGCAGCCAGGGGGCCAATCCACAGTGCTCAGCTTTCCTTTCGTGCCTGCACTGCCCGCCGACTGTGAGTGCTCGTCCTTCCCTGCAGGTGGTACCGGGAAGGAAGCCCTTTCCGTTGTCCATACCTCAGCTGGGCCCTCGGAGCCCCGAATTGCCAAGAAGCCCCTTCCGGCTGCCCTGCCTGGGTCTGCCCCAGCCAGCGGTCCCTTGGGTTTGATCGACAGTGAAAGGCATCCCAGGCTAGAAGAGCCTTCCTCTCTGCTCGAAACAGCCTGAAAGCCGATAGATAGGTGACAGGTTGATAGATGACAGGTGGGTAGGTAGATGGACAGGTATCAAGCTGGGCCCCACTCCAGGCCAACAGAACTAGAATGCGTGTAGGTGGGCTCCCACCAGGTTGCTTTCACCCTCTTCCAAGTAATCCCAGTGTTCACACAGGAATGAGGACAGCTGTTCTAGGGGCTTCCAGACCACGTCCAGATCACCACCAAACATTGTACAGATTTACAGCGGAGAGATGGAGTGTCTCACTACCAGCCGGTGGTCGCAGAATCTCCAGGACTAGGAAGGAATAGTCTCTAACTTCTCTCCTGTAGGAAGGCATGACCATGATCTATGGTTCGTGAGTTCAAGCCCCGCGTCAGGTTCTGCGCTGACAGCTCAGAGCCTGGAGCCTGCTTCTCTCTCTCTCTCTGCCCCTGCCCTGCTCACACTCTGTCTCTCTGTCTCTCTCTCTCAAAAATAAACGTTAAAAAAAAATTTTTTTTAAAGAAGGCATGACTAGCCTATTAACACTGAGCCCCAAGTGTTAATGGCTTTAGCGCACAGCTTCAGTTAGAATCCAAGGGTTCTAGAAGTACATGAACCATTTCGACAAACTCTTTCCAACACCTTCACTCCCTGGAGTCTCAAATCCAAGTAAAAGCATTATCCAAATACTCAGTACCAGTTTATTGAACCCCTACAATTTCCTCCCCCCCCCATTGCTCGTGCATAAACCATATGTATCTGTTTTCATTCAGAGTTTACAGTGGGGGCAGGGAGCAGTCACCAAATAACATACAAATAAATGTTGCAGGTTAGGTTAAACTTTAAAATAATGGGTTTTTTCCCCCTTCCTCCCTGAATTGCCAGACTCCACCAAATCTAGCTTGAAGATGCAGCTTTCAGTGTGCCCTAACTCTGCGTGTTTAGGGCCTCACTTTGGTCTGAAGCCAGATTACCCCAGCCCCAAGCACAGCTCAATCCCCTACCAGCTGGGTGACCTTGAACGAGTTTATTAACCTCTCTGTGCTTCAGTTTCCTCATTTGCAACATAAGAACGATAATAATCTAATTTACATGTACCTAAGCTGTTATGAGGAGTAAAGAATGAAGAAAATCATAAAAAATTCAATAGTTTTCTCCATATGACTCTCTGGTGGATGGGCACCTGGGCAGCTCGGCTGAGCATCCGACTTCAGCTCCGGTCACGATCCCATGGCTCATGGGTTCAAGCCCCACATCGGACTTGCTGCTGTCAGCTTGGAACCCACTTTGAATCTTCTGTCCTTCTTTCTCTGTCCCCCCCCTACTCATGCACTCTCTCCCAAAAATAAACCTTAAAAGAAAACTTTGGTAGATATTATTCCTAGATATTTGAATTTTGTGTTACTGTAAGTGAAAATTTAATTTTTTTATTTTCTTGCAAGTTATGGATTTGTGCAAATACAACTTATTTTGGTGTACTGGGTTTTAGCCAGTTATAAGCTCTTATTAAGGTTAATAGTTTATAGATTCTTTTCAATTATCTATGTATATAGATACTCACCTGTGAGTAATGACTCTCTTGTTCCTTCTTTTCTGACCCTCATACCTTCTTTTTGCCATGCGTTGCTGTCCTGGCTAGAACACCCATCATACTGCTGGATAAAAGCATAAGGTGGACCCCTTTTTGTTTCTGATCTGAGCAAACACTGCAATATGCCACCATCGAGTATAATTTGCTATAAGCTTTTTTTTTTTTTTTTTGGCAGATAATCTCTATCAAATTAAGAAATTTCCTTTTTCGGGGCCCCTTGGGTGGCTCAATCTATTAAGCATCTGACTTCAGTTCAGGTCGTGATCTCAACACTCGCGGGTCTGAGCCCCGTAACGGGCTCTATGCTGACAGCTCAGAGTCGGGAGCCTGACTCGGATTCTCTGTCTCCCTCTCTGTCTGCCCCTCCCCCACTCACACTCTTGTATTCTTGTAGTTATATATTTTAATTGAATTTTCAATATTTTGGCAAAAAGTTGCTTGAAATGTGTATATATATGTGTGTATATATATGTATATATATATACACACATATATATTTTTTGTCTGTAGCAGCATTTGTAGTTATGTCACTTTCTTCATTTCCGAGATTGGCTACTGTGACTTCCTTTTTTTAACTGATAAATTACACCATGGGCTGGTCAATTTTGTTAGTTTTGTTAAACAATTTTTGGTTTCCTGTTTGGGATCTACTATATGTAGCTACTGAACTAATTTCTTATTTTTCCTATCCTATTTGTACCTCCTTTAAATTCCCAGCCTTTCCTTTATCACATACCCATGTATGCCTTCACATTTCTAAGCACTGATTTACCTTTGTCCTACAACGTTTTTTAAATTTGTTTTAATGTTTATTTTTGAGAGAGAGAGAGACAGAGTGTGAATGGGGGAGACGCAGAGAGAGAGAGGAGACACAGAATCTGAAGCAGGATCCAGGCTCTAAGATGTCAGCACAGAGCCCAGTGCAGGGCTGGAACTCACGGAGATCATGACCTGAGGGGAAGTTGCTTAACCGACTGAGTCCCCCAGGCGCCCCTGTCCTACAAGTTTTGATGTGTGGTACTTTCTTCTACTTTAGCTCAAAGTATTTATTGTTCTTTGACACATGCGTTGTTTAGGGGCATAATGCTTGTGTTTTGAATATGTAAGAATTTCTCATTGTAAAAACTTGCTTCTAGTATGAAAGCAGTAAAAGGTTTTTGAAAGTAAAGTATGGTCAGAGAACATGTTCTGTATAATCTCAGGACTTTTAACTTGGTTTAGATTTGCTCTAGGCTTAATATATGCTCGCTTTTGTAAACGTTCTATGTATGCCTGATCAGGATGATTATATACTGTAGTCCTCTGATGCAGTGCTCTATATAGTCATCAATCAAGCTGATCTCATTAGTTGGCTTCTTCAAATCTAGATCCTTCCTGATTTGTTATATCAATTTCTGAAAAAGGTATGCTAAAAACTCCCAAATATGATTATAAATTTGGATGTTTTCCCTCTTAGCTCTTTAAATGCTGGGGCCAGTAGAGGGGAAATGAAATGATTAAAAACAAAACCCACAACATTGTCGATTAAAAACAAGGCAGGAAAAAAGGGGGAAAACCCAGAACAAATGAGGTAAACAAAAACATAAATTAAGATGGTTATATTCAAACCTAAATCTATCATACTTCTATTACAGACAAATGGATGAAAAGCTCCAAGAAAATAACAGAAATTGGCAAGCTGGATTAAAAAATAAAAATCCAGGGCACCTGGGTGGCTCAGTTTGGCATTGTTTCTGCCCCTCCCTCACATCCAAGCTTTCTCTCGCGGTCTCTCAAAATAAAATATAAACATTTTACAAAATCCAACCGTGGGCTCTTACAGAAGCCACATGTAAAACAGAAAGACACAAAAACTCCGAGAGTAAAGTCTGGTGTGCCAGTGTGCCAAGCTCTTCCAGGGTGGTGACATCAGGGGATGCGAGAGGCACCCACCCCAGTGGGGAGGGGACCCTTCCATTCGACGCCCAGGCCGCCCTGGAGGCTGCAGGGGGATCCCTTAGGTTGGCAGGTTAAGCCCCTTCCCTCTTTCCTGCCTTACAGTGGCCTCAGGCCTGCGGCAGCAACAGAGGAAATGCTTGGAGCCGACCCCCCCACCCACCGCAATGTGCTCCGGGTGGGGGCGGTTTGCACTCAGGTCAGCCAGAAGTAGATTCTTCTCTGTCTCCCCCACCCCGTGCCCTCCCCCGATCCCTGGAATCCTTGAGTTCAAAAAGACCCCTCGGTTCCTTTTGCCAGAGACCATGTTTCCTCGTGCAGTAGGCAGAGACGCACATGTGCTGAACTGCACACCGATTTTTCACGAACGCAGTGATCCCCGGTGTTTCAGGAAACTGTAGAAGGAAGGGGTTTGTGCTCGCGCGGCGGGGGGCCTGTGGGATGGACACACAAATCAGGGAGCATCTTATCGTTCATTTTATTACTCATTTTCCACATAAAAAAAAAAAAAGCCTTGAACTTTCTGTATGATCGGATTGGATCTGGACCGCGGAGACCGGGCTTGCCCTGAGCGTTCGTGTCTGTGGCGCAGGTGAAGGCTGCGGCTCCGCCAAGGGCAGGCAGCAAAGTGCAAGGTCATTTACGCCCTCTGGCTGGTCTGTTCCTTCAAGCTTGCTTCGGAGGGTCTGTGTGACGGCTGATGCTGATAAGGCCCACAAATGCTGTACAGAGGTGGGTGCAGAGCACTTCCGTGGCCGCTGCTGAGAAGGGAGCCAGGGGATTGGAGGCCAGTGTGCAGGGCAGAGGGAGGGCTGAGCAGGGGAGCACAGATCTCTCCTCATACTGACCGCACCCCCTGCCCCTCTCCCCTCATCCCTGTCCTACCATTTCTTCTGGCTCTGAGCCTGCCTAGCATCACTCACTGCAGCCTGAAAAAGACTCCTCTTCCTGAGGCCTCTGAGTGGAAAGCCTAGGACTTTCCTGCCCCTATTCTCTTACTGAGTACGGCTAGACGTGAAGACACTGTACCAAACACCCTGCTTATGTGATCCTATAGACCTTAGCTTCTGCAACAGTCATCTTGGGACTTACTCCAGTCCTGACAACATTTAACACTGTCAGCACCACCCCCTCTCCCTTCTGTCCCCCATCGGCAGCCTGCTGCTCCCAGAGGGGACCCAAGAGCACAAGCCAGGCCCTGCATGTGTCCCCAGTGACCCTGACCAGGCATTGCTTGGTCACAGCCATCGGGGCACAGCCCCTTTTGGGCCCCAAGTGGCTTGGGCCTGGGCACTGGCACCTGTTCCTGGCAGCCACGGCGACCACGCCAGCCCATGCTGGGCGGCCCTTCCTGGGCATCAAGTGCACACAGAGAGTTCCCGAAAAGTCTTCAAATCTAGTAAGGACTAAAGTGGGAACAGAGGCTAGGGAAAAAGAGCTGACCCTGGGGGGTGACAGGCAAGCCTCTCCATACACGACCGAATGCCACCTGAGGAGTGGGGCCCGGAGCCGGCCACGGAGGCCTGGAGGCATCGCAGTCATGCTCTCCTCCGAGGACAAATTCAGGAAGAGTCTGGTGGATGTGTTACGGTTTCAACTGTGCCCCCCAAATTCATGCTGTCTTAACTCCCAGTACCTAAGAATGCGACCTTATTTGGAGACAGGGTTTGAAAGAGGTGATCAAGTCACGGTGAGAGCATTCGCGTGGGCCTGGTCCTACACGGCTGCCGCCCTCACACAAGGGAAATCTGGAGATGTGTTTCCAGAGAGAAAGCCACGGACAGGCCAGGAGAGCCCCGCAGCCGACCCTCCTTGCTGCCTCAGTAGGCACTGATTCTGCCAACACCCCGACCTTGGACTCTGGCCTCCACACTGTAAAGGTCTGGCGTCTGAGCTGCCCGGTGACCGTGAGCCGCTCTTCAAAGAAGTCTTGTGGGAATTCGGTCCCACAGCTGGTTCTCCGGGAGGCCGCGGACTCTCCGGAAGCGTGGAAAGGCAGGAGCTGAGCCGACTGCGTACCCGCACTGGTAACATAACCGAGGGCAGTGCTGGTCCAGCCCCGCTGGGCCCCTCCCCCAGGAGCCGAGGGCCCTTCCCCCAGCACCCCTACTTCTCTAACGTCAGACTCCACATGGGCAAACGCAGGTGAAACTGTGGGGGGTTGGTTCTCTCCAAACGAAACCGATGCCCTATTAACCAAGAAAGCAGGAGCCAAGCCCAGCTTAGTGCCGAGATCGGGAAGGGCGGGTGCCTGGAAGAGGGGCCCTCGGCCGTCCGTGCAGGGCGTGTGCACTTGTGAGCACGCGCGCCTCCCCCCTGCGTGCCGGGACAGATCCAGTGGGAAGGACGAGACTGGGAAGCAACATCTGAGTAAACCTGAGCCAAGGCGGCCACGGGCGTGGCTGAGAAAGGCACCCCAAACAGCGGCCTCCCCGAGCAAGCAGCATCCTGGAGTCTGGGGCGAGGGGGCCCAGGGCAGAGGCCGCAGCCCCTCACGGCCCAGAGGCGGGGAAGGCTGGGCTGGAGCAGGGTGAGGGGGCAGGACAGCGCCGGGGGGACGTGGCCAGGGTCAGGCCGCCTTCAGCAGGGCTGAGCTGATGAAGAAGGTGGCTAGGGGTCCCCCACCTCAGGGCCCTACATCCCGCACCCCACAGTTCCTCCTCCAGGGCCCTCTGGACCCCTGCCGTCAGGCCGCCGGGGTCCTTGGGCTGGCCCCGGGTCCCGGGGGGCACGGCTGCCACACACAGCGGCTCCGCGTCCGCACTGGCTGTAGGACGAGCCACCTGCGGGGGTACGGCGACAGGCACTGAGGAGCTGGGGGCGCTCTGCAGCCCCCCGGCGTGTCCCAGGGAGGCATGCACAGCACGGCAGCCGCAAGCTGAGGAGAGGGGCTGCTGGGAAGGGCTGGAGTCCTGCCCAGAAGGTTCTGCCGTGGGGGCATCCGGAGGCAGCTGAGGCGCCGGGCGGAATCTCCTGCAGGAGAGGCCTGGGGCGTCCCCGGCCCTGCAGCCTTCTGCCTGACTGCGCAGGATCTTTGGTTTCGGCCTGGCGGGGCCCTTCTGCCTCCCGTAGGGCAGGTGTCTGTGAGCAGGGCCACTGACCCAGCGAGGTCCCCGGGACAGGGCCCACGGCCAGGAAGCCTGGCACTTCGGCCCAGGGCCCCGAGGCCGCCTCCCCAGCCGATCCACCTGCGTCCTCATGGTGGCCACTTCCTGAGACAGGCCCGCCAGGGCTGCAGCCAGCCGGTCCAGCTTCTCCGAGAGGGCGGCGCCGAGGCTGTGGAGCTCCTGCCGCAGAGAACTTCCACAGGGGCATGGCTGTGGGGGCGCCTGGGGCAAAGCCGGAGGGGTGGCAGCTGCGGGCGGTGGCTCAGGCAGGCCTCTGGGCAGTGGCTTCCCCTGGGTCCTGGCTAAAACCAGAGCAGGGACAGAGTTCTCAGGCTGTCAGAGCCTCCACTCCCCCCACCCAGGGGGCCCCAGCAGCTACTGTAACTGGCACCCTCCCCATCCGCTAAGGCCTGGCTTTAGATGGGACAGAAGGGACTCAGGCTTGAGAACATCAATGCCAGTGCTCATGACATCAAAGGTAGCACATCTCCTGGCCGCTCCCCAAGTTTACGTTCTGGATAAACCACAGACTGAGTCTCCAGCTTTCTTAGGACAATGGCCTTCCCACCTTCTAGGAAAAGGTTCTTAGTGCCACAGTTGAGAGCAAATGGCATCCCAGACCACCTACACCTGCCCTAGCACATCAGTGGGCAAGGCCTAGAGAAACCTCAGCAGATAGCATGAGACCAAGGACAATATCTGGGAGGGGGAGGGGCCCAGGAGGGCCAGACCAGCCTGGGACTTGGACGCCTGTAGGGGAGTGGCTAGGGGACTGTGGCGGTACCCGGTGCTGATGGTCGTCAGCACATCCATCCTGACCTTCCCCCTCCCCATTCAGAAGTTGGAGTTCTAGAACTTTAGGTCTTAAATTACTTAAAAAAAAAATCAGCTCATCCTCCACCCTAAGGCCCCTTAGGTCTCCACCCCAGGCAACCCGCCTAGAAAGCCCTGTTACCACCCGGACTGGTGGGGCAGACCTGCTGTCCCCCACTTATCCGCACCCCAGCCCAGCTCTGCCCCCTCATTAGCCCCTCCAGGCTCCAAATGGAGGCGGAAGTGACTATGAGCTGCCCGGTCAGGTTCTTCAGGAAGGATCTAAGCTGAGGGCTGGGATGTCACCACTGCCTCAGTCCGAGGGAGAGGCCGTGGGCCTGGCAACCTTAGGCCAGCTCTTAAAAGAGCTGCTCCTCCAGAGCGGCGGAGCCTCAAGCCAGCGAAAGAGCCCCAACCGAGGTGCTGGTGCGGGGGTCTCAGCGCATCCGCTACAGTGAGACGGAGCGCCAGGCCCTCCCTCGTATGAGGAGGAGCTTCCTCAAGGTTAGGTGTGATACAGAATCATATCTCTTGGGACATCCTTGGCCAGATCGTGCAACATTACTGGGCCTCAGTTTCCACGTCAACCCCTGCCCACCCCGTGCCTACAGGGCTCCTGACGACCTGAGGGGCGGGGAAGCCACCGATTCACCTGCAATACTCGGTCTTCCATTTCCAGGCCCCAAGCCTCTGGATTCTTCACCGACCCTGGGCTTCCAGGACAGGAGGCCGTGGGCTGATCCAAGGGGCGGGCAGGGCCCTGCGCTGGGCCTTTTCTCCAGCTGAGGGGCAGGGCAGGGGCTCACAGCTGCCCCTGTAGAAAGAGCACAGAGCACCCAGGTCGTGGATACATATCATTTTGCAGGAGTCCTTCTGGCACGCGGGTATTTTGGACATGGCCTAAAAACAACTGAACTTTCAACTTTCAAACAATGGTTAAATGAGATACAAGCTGGATGTGTGGGGCCCGTCAGGGAGTCCGGCTCTGTTGAACAGCCCACTGGGGCACGTGTGATGAGGACGGACTGGATCAGTTCTGGAGTCTTCTGCAGCTAGGGCCTGGCCCCTCCAGCTCTACCACGATGAGGAGGCCAGAGAAAGCTGATGGAAAAGGTGGAGATTGGCAGGCACTCCCCACCCCCACCCCCACCCCCTGTAAGACTCCTCCAGGAACACGCTGGGGGTGCCCTGTGGGCCACAGGAAGCTGGTCTGTGACCAGCCCACACTGCCGCGCCCCACTAGGCCCACTGAGTAGTGGGGAATGCAGGTACAGCCTGGCCAGAAGCCCGTGTAGAGCTGCTGGCCTGAGCTGGGGGAGAGCTCCCTTCCCCGACCGCTTACCCCACCCCTACCTCCTCCAGCGCTGCCCAGGGGACCAGGCTGGCCCGGGATTTCCGAGTACACTTCTCTCCAGGGTAACTGGGACCTGCCTCCTGTTTTCTCTTCGGTTTTGCCTGCTGGGAGCAAACACTGGGTCAGGCCTGGACCGAGAGGCGAGGCGGTCTGCAAGGGCACACAGGTTTCCCAAAATTCTTGACCGCACAACCTCAAAGTTCTCCCAGGGGGAAGAATCTCACTGTTGACACCATGTTTATTATCAAATTTTGAAAGTGCAGACGACTATCATCATCATCACACGTACACACCCATGTATGGACATGCAGCCTGAGAGCCTGGCTCTGGGCTTCTGATCGCTGAGCCGTCCACCCGCCTCAGATACACACGCTGCCAGCTGCACAACACGGAGACTAGCAATCCCTCCTGACCCATGAATGTCTGGCTTTCAGAAGGCCCAGGGTCACTTAGCTTTAGGTAACTTGCCTCTTGAGCGTGCCCGCTTCTCCCTTCCTGGGCCCTAATTCCCGCTCCGGTGTGTGAAGCAAGAACCTGACAAAGCCAGTCACCCTGCCCTTGAGCCAAATAAAGGCAGAGCCCCAGGTCTGCACACTGTTCTCTATACCTGCGGCCACACTGTGTGCCCCTCAGGCTTGCTGTGCACCCTGCAGGGCCTGGGAATAATAAATCCTGTCCCTCCAAGTTCCCTGGTTTTTGCTGACATGCATCCTATGACAGAAAAACCACAAGGGATAGGCCCGGTGGGTAAACGTCCATGGGGCTGCCTACGAGCAGGGGCTGGGCAAGCGAGCGCCTCAGGCTTCCTCGCTGAGAGCGGCACTACGGATAGGCTGGGACCAACAGAGCACTATGTGTACACGCAGACGTTATCAGTGCATGTGCTGTGCGTATATTATATGCATGGAATGTATATGTATTAAGTTCACTGCCAGGCTTCCTAATTAAACACACCTGTGCCCTACATCCTCTCTCAGACACACCTCTCAACTTAAGGGGACTCAAGCATGATTCAAGTAGAGAACTTTCTGGCAAGAGTAGGGCAAATGTGGGGATCCAGGCTCTGCTCTCAGGAGACCCTGGGCTCACCTGCACGGAGGCCACAGGGGGCTCCGGGCTCTGCTCTCCGTGGGCCTTCACCGGGGCTGCCACCAGCATGGGTGCCGCCTCCAGGCCGTGGGGACAGGGGGCCAGGACCCCTGTAGCTCGGAAGGCGGTCCCTCTCTGGCAACACAAGCAAAGCTGGTGTCAGAGCGGAAGCTGCAGCCAGGGGGACCTGGCTCCCTGGCCTCTTCTCGTCCCCACGAGCTCACCCTGTGGGAGCAGCTGCCAGAGCTCTTCTCCTTCCGAGCTGCTGATGCTGGAGCTGGAGCCGGGGCCGGGGCCGGGGCTGGAGCCGGGGCTGGGGCCAGGGCCAGGGCCTGCCAAGCAGGCGAAGCGCAAGGGCCTCCCGGGCAAGATCCCCTTCAGGGAGTTCTCCAGGCAATGGAGCGGGGAGGGCTTCGTGGCCGCCCCTGCGCAAGGACAACAGAAGAACATTCAGGAGGACCCTCTGCCTTAGTGAGCGGGTGTGCAGCGCTGACCCCCTCTGGCTCAGCCGACAGCCCCCCGCAAGCTCTGGTAGACCCTGAACAGCTCCCACTCCTGCTGCGAGGTGGAGAGAAGCGAGGCCAAGCCTGGCCGGGCTGCTCCGGAAAGCTAGCAGGGGAACCTTCCTGAAGTCGCATGTCCCTGCTTCCAGCCAGGCCCGCACCTACCTGCACCCCACTCAGGACCAGTGGTCCAGAGCAGAGGGTCAGTGACGTCCACAGGAAGCCCCCCAAAGCCAGTTCTTTTCTGCTGGGAATATTTAGAAACGCCACGTGACGCCCAACAAATCAGACCCTGTGGCCGGGCCTGGCAGGAACGCCGCTGTCAGTGCAGAGGAGCAGCGGCGCGGAGGAGGGGGACCCCCCTCCCCTGCTTGGCCCCAGGCAACGGCCATGATAAAGGAAATGACCAGTCCTCTCCCAGAGAAACCCGATGGCTGCATAAAAACTGTTCTCCCTCTTCCGTTCAACAACCTGGTCGCCATCTCCCTTCGGTGCACTGAGGATGCTCCGGCCGCAGCCTCCGGGGGGCCCACCCGCTCCAGCACACAGCCCGTGGTGTGGAGCGTGCAGGCAGCGCGATGGGCAGGAGACGGAAGGAACAGAGGGGAGGGAAGGGGAAATCTAGTCCCTCGCGGAGGATTTATCTGGAGGGACGAGCTGCCACTAAACACGGGGGAGATGTCCGCTCACCATCTTGGAGCCACCTCCACGGTCCCGGCCTGGTGGCCCCATGGTCTCTGAGCCCTCGCTGGTAGCAGACGGGGACACTGCTAGAGGTCAGCGCCTGTGGGCTGGCCAGCCGGAAGCTCCTTGTGGGTGTCTCCCCCTGCCTCTGCCCCAGATGGGGGGGCTCACAGGCCTCGCCCCTCAGTCCTGTTTCAGTGAGAAGCCAAAAGGCCTGTCAGCCCCGTGGGGCACTGAGGCAAGGAAGCTCCTGGGCAGAGAGCAGCTTCTGCCACTGTGGGCGTCTCGGGCACATGAGCTCAGGGGTGGGGCACACACCCGGCCTACAGATGTTCCCGGGAGCCGCCCAAATCTTCCAGGACCGTTTCATCCCCAGACCCAGCCACCTGGGCTCCCGCGGGCCCACAGCTCAGCGACTGTGCTGGACACCAAGGCGGGCGGGGCCGACAGTCAGGACAGGAAGATCGGGCCTAGAACCGGAACAGCACCCGGTGGGGCTAGGTATCCTGCCCCGACCGCGCCCCCCACTCAGATCCTGCAGCTCTGCGGCCTCGCACAAGCCTCTGCCCGGGCCGTCTGCTCGGGGCTGGGTGTGGGCCTGCGGGCCACGTGGGGAGGCAGGCTGGGGATGGTACGTGGGAGTCGCCTCGTCCTGCTCTCGGACACCGGGGCGGCCGTGCCTTACCGTCCTTGTCTGCCGTCCAGTTCTTGGGCTCCGCTCTCTGTGGCCCCCTGTCCCCCGCGGAGGACCGGGACGAAGCTGACTGCGGCCTGGGCACAGGTATCTCTCGGAGACAGTTCTCCAGGCCCTGGAGCGGGGAGCTTCCCACCGGGCTTCCTGCGAAAACCCAACATTTGCAATCCTGGATGGTCAGAGCTCAGTCTCTGCGAACCCCGGGAGCCTGGCCGTGCCCTTGCGTGCGGGGCAGCTGGGGCCCCGGGAGGCGGCACAGAGTGCTGGGCCTGTCACGCCAGGCACCTGGTCCCAAACACGTCGGTCACGGCTCTGGGCTGGCCCAGGAAGAGGCCAAGCTGCCTAAGCCAGGACACGAGCCACAGGCGGAGGCTGGGCTCCCTCCGATACCCTGCTCTGCCCGTGCGAGAGATACCACCATCTACCTGGCCCACAGCCAGCCCTGAGGACCGAACGCCGTGAGGCTCCCTCCACTAAGAAGAGGAAAACTCATGCCCTTGCCTCTGGACATGATGCAGCAGGTTGAGAAGGCCAGCGCCAGAGCAGTCACAACTTGGGAATAAACCAAACACACTGAGAATATCACATTTTGGGTGCCGGAGCTGGGCAAGCAGCGGGAAGCAGATGGACCAAAAGCCCAGAAAAGGAAAGGCCCTTCCTACGGGAGCTGACGTCGTGGCCACGCTCTTCCCTGCAGGAGAGCTCTTCTTCGCGGAGAGCTCTGGGCTGCCACGTGGTGCTGGAATGGCCAAATTCAACCACAGTAGCCCCGAATCCAGTTCTCCTAAGTTCCAGAGCAACAGAGGAGCTGCGGGGCACAGCTGGGCTGGAAGCTTCTAAAAAGTGGCTCAGACTCTCCTGCAGTTTGGGCTTCTTAGAAGACAAAGTGCACCAGGAAACGCCGCCCAAACAGGCAACGCACTGAGCCCTGTGACGGACACTGTGCGGCGGCTCAGAGGAACGGGGTGCTCCCAGTGTCCAAGAAACATGCCGAGGAAGTTCAGGAAGGTGCCAAAGGCCAACAGTAAAACAAAACACGGGGCGGGGGAGCTGTGTAGAGCACGCTGCCACGTGCACGAGGGTGCGAGCAGCGGGGCCACGCAGAGGACGACCCTGCAGGCGAGACCTCACAGCAGTGGTGACCCAGGAGGGCAGGGGACAGGGAGACACGGTCTCTCCCACACAACCTGTCTTAGCTTTGGAACAAAACCCTGTGATCGCCCATTAAAAACTAAAAAAGAGAAGGAGGCTGCACGTGGGGAGGAAAAAGCCCCCACCCCAGCGGCTGACCGTGGTGGGATGTGGGAACCGGGTGCATGGGCACTGGCCCCCAGGGGTGCTCTGCGGGCCCCAGCAAGCCTGGCGCGAGGTCCTGGGGCAGCTCCAGGCTTTCCACAGACGACACGCGAGGTGAGCAATGGGGGACCGAGTGTCTGCAGACAGGGCAGCGCTTGGACTGTTCGAGTGGGGAAAAGGTCAAGAGGGGACCCCACAGAGTCCTGCAAGGTTCCAAAGGGGTGTGACAGCCCACCGTGGGTGCCGCCCTCCCTGCAGGGGACCCGGAGAGACGCAGGTCACCACAGATACTCCTTAAGGTGACTTTACATGAACCTGAACCTCACAACCTTCTTTCCTAAGTCGGAGGTCAATTTGATATTACAGGCATTTCTCTGTGGCTGGGGTAAGGGAGAATTTGACACTAAAGGAGCCCTTTTCTATTTTTCTAGAGACCTTAGACTTTGCCTTGCCCCTTCTGAGCCTAGTCATTAAAACGGATACTCTCCTCCTCACCCCCCTCCCCGCCTACAATAAGTCCCGTGTTTGCTCCTGCCTCAACACCCCCAGCTCTGCTCCAGACACGGGGCAGGGCAGCTGGGCTCGGGTGGGCTGGGGGGCTGCGCATCCTCTCCCAGGACTGACTCCCGGCCGCAGGCCTGCCGGCTCACCTTTTCCAGGCTGACGCCCCTGGCTGCCCCCTGGGCTCTGGAAATCCAGGTCCCCATCGGTGCTGCTGGATGAGGAGAAGCTGGTAGGGGTGCTGTAGGGCCCTGAGGGGAGGGCAGGGCTGCCTCTCACACAGCCCTGAAGACTCAGAGCCAGAAGAGGCCCCACGGCCACCTCTGCAGGAAACAGCACAGCTGACATCATGAGAAAGCCACTGGCTAAGAGGTTCCCCGGGCCCTGGGTGGACACCCAGGAGACTGACCCCAAAGGGTCTCCCACAAGGGTCTCCCTGTAGGTTGGGGGCTTGAGGCTCTGGTTAAAAGACCCACGTGAAGCCAACTGTTGGTTTCCTGGGACTAGAAAGCAAGCCAGAGCTCTTGGGGGGGGAGCGGGCGAGGTGTGGTATGCAGGAAGAGCTGAACTGGTGCCCACCAAGTTCAGGAACCGCCTGGGGGCAGGCCTGAGTATGGGGGCTGGAGAAGGGCAACGTGCCTCACGGCCCAGGAGGAGCGGGGTACCAAACGACGTCCTCAGCGTCCCCCTGTGCCGCGCACAGGGACAAATGCCACCCTGGGCCCAGGGCCCCGTCTACCTTCACCGTGTGGTCTGCGGGGCTGCGGCTCGGGCCTCTGAGCCCCAGGTTCTCCTGGCGGCGGGCTCCGCGATCCAGAGGTGGCCGGCGGCTGGGGAGGTAACGACCCGCTCAGGGGAATGCCCTTCAGACAGGCCTCCAGGGCTTCCAGAGGTGAGCTCGAGGCACTGCCGGCTGGGACAGGGGACATGGCCCTGTCACCATCTCGGGCACATTCCCCTGACCCGGCCCCAGGCTGGCTGCCCCAACCCGCCTTTTGCAGGGGTGACAAGTCCTGCACCGGGCAGGGAGGCATGCCAGGCAGGCCCCCAGTGGGGGGACTCTGATTAGCTCTCTGTCCCTACAGGGGAAGGACACGATCTGGTACAGGGGAAGGGTGGAGAGACCCCACGTACACAGGGGCCAGCTTCCTGATGGGCAGGGGATCACTGCAAAACAGAAGTCCTTACAACGGAAGCCTCCTGGGCGAGTGCTCGGATTGAGGAGGATGTGGGTTCAGAGAGAGGGGTCACTGCCATGTCACCCCCCGTGGGCTGGACCCACTCCCTCCCCCATGGGCGGGCAGAACCTCGCTGGTGGGGCTGGGAATCCCACTGGGGAGGACTCGAGCAGACGCCCCCAGGCCTCACCTTGAGCTCCGGGGCCCCAGCTGGGCACCTGGACCCCTCTGGTCTCTCCACTCCCCTGGCTGCCAGCAGCAGAGGGGCTGTGGGCCCACCTGCTGAGCTGACAGGATGCAGGCACCGGGGGGCTCTGGGCCCAGCAGTCCTCCATCTTCACCGCAGAGAGCACGCTGCCAGCTCCCGGACCAGGGCCGGGGGGAGGGCGCTGGACGGGTCCGGGCGCTGTGGGAAGCCCCCATGAGGCCTTTGTAGGCGTGGGATGGGGCTCCCAAGGCCCCTGGCCTCTACAGCAGTCTCTGGCTCCAAGGCGGTCACTCCTCATGGACTGACATGGACTGACTCACGCCCCCATCTTGTCCCTGAACCCCCTGGGGTGCCTCCAGAGGTTTCTACTGAGGGAAGCCACATCAGCCTCCTCTGGCAGCACCGGATCAGGGTCTTTACTCCAAGGCCAGCAAGCCGGTCTCGATTCGACTTTCTCAACAGTCTGAGAAGCTCCCAAGGACCAGCGAGCTACAGTGTGTGGAAACGCTACCCCAGCCCACGTGAACACGACGGGAATGCTCAGTTCAAAAGGATGCCCCAAGTGCCTCCTGGGCCAGAGCCGTATCTTCTGTTCTCAGCCTCCTCCCCTCCCTAGGCTCCCTTCCTCCCTTCTGGAACTTTCAGCCTGACTCTAACAGCCATGCTGGACAGTGATCGTGGGCTGATGAAGCACCTCCGACATGCCAAGCTCTGTTTACAAGGACGGTCCCCAACATGTGGCGGCCCAACCTACACGCGGAGGCGAGGGCCCGAGGGCCTGGGGGAAGGGAAATGGAAGGCGCCCCAGGGCCCTCCCTGCCCGGCCAGTGGCCTTTACCTGCAGAACTCCTCTGGCAGTGCCCCGGATCCCTCCGCACACTGGAGGGGCTGGGGCGCCCGTGCGGGGTCTCAGGGAGCTCCTTCAGACAGTTCAGCAGACCCTGGAGGGGGCAGTCCCCGGAAGCCGCCTCTGTCTTCACTGCAGGGAAGAGGAACATACTTTTGCCCTGAGCCCAGTCATGACACACAGCAAAAAAGCAGCCAATCCAGGTGAGCAGTTAAAAGGGTTCAGGGCCCGGGATCTGGAAATGTGGGTCTTCTTGCAACTCCTTCAGATCTGCACGGGCCGCTGTCTTCTTGGTGCTCGGTTTAAAAATGCCCATCTCCACAGCTCCCTGAAGCAGCCGGCCGTACACGGGTGCCAGCGGAAGGAAGCGAGCTGACGGGCTGCGACCTGCATGTGGCCCCCTGGCCCCCGAGCGGACCTCACGTCCCAGGAGCAAGCGTCTCGCAAGCAAACACAAGTCCTTCACTGTACCTGAGCCCTTGAAGGTGGGAACAATCGTCCCCTTTTACAGATGGGGAAGCCAAAGCTCAAAGGCTTCAGGAGCCTGTCACAGTCTTCACCACTAACAGGGGTCAGAGTCCGGGACGCTGCTCCCGCCCCCACCACGCCACCCCGAGCCCCCAGAAACCCCCACTTAGTGTCAGCAGGAAATGACAGTGAGCGGCCCTCCTCAGAGGTCCCGAGGTCCCATGTTAGGACGCACAAAAACCACAAGGGGGTCCAGGGCAAAGTCTGTTTTTGAGTTTCCTGTAAGAGCTGACCGAATGCCATTCTCCTGAGGGAGCCGCAGGCTCCAGAAGGAGGCCAGTGATGACCGTGGAGCTGCCATGCTGGGAACGGCCCTTTGGGAAGACACTGTATTTACAGAGAAAGGCAGCTCAGGGGTTCCAGAAACCTTGGCCTGAGGAGACAGGTCCCTGGGGGACTCACCTCCCCAGGGCGGGCTCCCAGGCCCCAGCTCTGCTCTGGGCAGCTGAGCGGTGTCCCGGCCGGGGAGAGCAGGTAGCGAGCATGGGGACGCCTCAGGGTGCTGGGGCCCAGGCACCAGGATCTCCTTCAGGCAGTTGATAAGGCCTTGCAAGGGGCTGTTCCCAGGAGAGCTTCCCATGGCACCTGCAAGATCAGCCAAGGTCAGTGCAGCCCTGACAGGGGCGGCTCTGGGACCTTCAGAAGGTCCGATGTCCCTCCTGTGTGAACAGGGCCAACACCTGCCGCCTGACATGCCTGTGTGAGCCAAACCCTACACACGTTTGTGTGTGCCTCCATCTCCCTTCCCTGCTCAGCTCCAGGGCAGACCCCACCCTCCGCAAAGCCAGCCTCTCACCTGTCCCCGTGGTCCCTCTCTCCTGTTTCCTGGGGCCCTTCTTCCTGCTGGGGCTACAGGTGGGAGGGCTGGGCTCCCCCCCTGGGGCTTCTGGGCCTTCCTTGTCTGTGGGTCTTGATTTGTCAGCAGTTTCTGTTGCAGGAGAAACAGAAAGGTCTTTGTAGCCCTGGCTCCTGAGGAACCGCCCCAGACTGGTCCCCACAGAGGACAGACCCCTCGGCCCCTCAAGTCCCTGGGGGGCAGCCAAGTACTGGAAGCCTGGATTTGCGTCAGGGCCAGCCCCTGTGGGCCTGTCCTAGGAGTCTGTCCCTGTTTCCTTCCAGTGTCATTATAAGCACCGACACGGCTTGCTCTGAATAACCCGAGCGCCCCCAATTCCAGCCTCTGACTTTGGCCCAGTAAGTCGCTCCGGCAGCTTTGACACGCAGGGCCCAATCTTGCACTTGTGCTTCTCAAGTCTGAGCACGTGGACCCCCAGAGCAAATCTGCCAGACGACACCTAAAATCACCGGCTACATGGGGTCTGTTTTTCAAGAGTGTCAATGTTAGTCCACCTTCATTTAAATATTTCATTTAAAATATTTGAAATAAAAAAGATACTTGGACAAATGCAAAATTTGCAAGAATTTCTAAAACTACAATGAGATGCCAGAAAAATTCTAGTGGTGACCCTCGCCCTCCTCTGCTCTCAGGGGGGAAGGTCTGAGACTCGGAGCAGGGGCGCACAGGCCTGCCCCTTGCCGACGGGCCTGCATGTTAGACGCTGCCCTCAGCTGGCCATGATGAGCATACAGTGGTCTGAAGCGGGGCCAGGACAGAGGCTGCTCAGGGACTGAGCACCACACCTGCTCTTTGGTCTATAGACAGGGGGCTCTCATCCTGTTCTCTGGGGAGGCTGCCCCCTTAACAACAAGGGAAACTGAGCCCTAGAGATAACAAAGAGGGTACAGAGTCCAGCTCCCTGCCCCTGCTGGCCCATACTCACTGATGGGGAGGGGGCTCCCCTGTCCCCTGGCTCCAGGAAGGCCCCTGGACAATGAGCTGCTGCTAGTCGTGGTGGCCAGGCTGGACCAGCCCGTAGACGTGTCTGGAAGGCAGCTGAGCAGGCCTCGGAGAGGGCAAGTCTCCACGGTCACAGCTGCTATTGGGGAGGAAGGAGACAACACCGGAAGCTAAGCCCAGCAGTGGGTACAATGCCCCTGACACTGCCCTATCTAGACCCTTCCTTGCCGTGTTCCGTTAACAATGACCCAGATGTCAGTGTCCTCTGCACTGTCATTCCTGGGCTCTGACATACAGATACACAACCACAGTCTTGTTCCCATAAGATCCTCCCCCCCCCTCCGCCGCCCCGTTTTTGGTTTCACTTACTATCCACCGAGCAGGCTCAAAGGCCAGGACTGGTGGGGACAGACAGGGCCGTCAGGGTGTGGCTGAAGCCATGTAGTGACCGCCATGAGGAAAGACAGGGGCCGCCATCTCACCAACCACCCACGCCTTTTTGGGGGCAGATGTGCTCCCGGGGCTTGTGAGCCGGGCGACTCCACCTAGGGGCCGGCGGGGACTGGGCAGCACACGGCGAGCAGAGGCCGCTGTCCGACTCACCCTTGGGGCTCGCCCGCTCCCCGTCCAGGCCCACTCCCCCGCTCTCGCTCTCGGGGCTGATCTCTCCAAACAGGAACTCCGGAATCTCCTTCACTAGCTGCACCAGGGCAGTGAGGTGTAGGCTGTGCGGGGGCGCTCCTCCTGCCGGAGAGGCCACAGTGAACCCCCCACCCTCTGTCAGCTCCACACTCACGCGTCTCTGCACGATGACAAACCGCATCTCAGGTCACCCTCCTACCACGTGAGTAGCAGCAGAGGAGAGACTTATGTCCCAGAAGTAGAAGGATCTGCCCCGGCAAAGCCAGGACTTGGGGCTGGGGACTTGGGGTACTGTTGCTCGGTACCTGGTACTTCTCTGAGGGGAGTGCCAAGGACGGCTGCATCTCCCCCCCCCCCCCCCCGGCCACCACCAGCCAGGCGCTCTGCCCTTCCTGGCACCTGTAACCTCGTGGCCACACCCACTGTCTGAGGTCTGCAGACATCAGTCCTGTGGCACACCCTTGGTGGCAGCACCCTCGGGGGCTGCAGGCTGGCTGTGTGGCCGGTGGTGGGAAGGGGGCTTGAGTAGGTCTCCAAGGGTGCCCCCCTTCCTAGCACCGCACACAATGCGCTACTGTGTGCCAGGTTCCCAGACCGGGGGGGGGGGGGGCAAAGGGTGAAAGGTCGCAGAGGGGTTTGGGCGTAGAGCACGGCAAGGGTTGAGGTCCCAGGGGTCCCTGAGGAGTGGAGCCAGGGGATGAGGACCACAGAGCGGAAGGGACAAGAGTGAGTCCCCCCTGGGGCAGGGGGCCTGCCCCTCATCTGCCGGGATGACTCACCCAGGGGGCCTCCGGCCCTGGGAGGCTCCGGCCCCTCACCAGCGCAGCTCCTGCTTTCCATGGCCCGGCTGGGCTCCGCAGGAGACAGGAAGGCAGAGAGGGGGAGCAGCTCGGCTGTCCCTGGGGAAGAAGAGAGGGAGGGACAGCCCCTGGGAATGGAAGCTGGCCTGCACCCGACTACACGCAGTCACGCATCTGTGACCGCCCAAACCCCAAGAACCGCAGGGCCGCCAGGCGCTCAGAGGCCAGCCTGCTAGGAGTTCAGCCGGCTCCGAGCGCCCCAGCCAAATCTCACCCAGAACCCCACTAGAGGTCAGCGAGGCCCCCAGTGGGGCCCCCAGCGAGGCCCCCAGCGAGCCCCCAGTGAGGCCCAAGGCTCCGGAACACCTCCTCCAACTGTTCATTTAGTCCCGGCGTCCCGGGGCGACTCAGGACCTGCCTGGCTCTGGCCCGCGGGGCGGGGCAGGGGTGGGGGGGGGTCCTTACCCAGGGACAGCAGCATCTCGTAGTTCTCCCGCATCACGTCCTGGTACAGCGCCCTCTGCCCCTCCCCCAGCAGCTGCCACTCGTCCTCTGAGAAGCGCACCGCCAGGTCCTGGAAGGCCACGGACACCTGTGGGCACAACCTCAGGGGAGCTGGTGGTTCCCGCCCAGCGATGCTAGGGGGACACCAGGAAATGCGGAGCAGGGAGAGTGCAGCGGGGGGGGGACGTGGGGGCAGGCGAAGGAGAACGGGAATCTGCTCAAGAGACAGTGACGGGGTTTGGACTGTGTGCACGAAGAGGGGGGCTGCAGCCCCCACCCCAGGCCCCCGTGAAGCAGGGTCCTTGCAGATGAGGCTACGCTGAGGTCCTACGGGAGTAGGGTGGGCCCTTAACCCAGTGTGACCGGCGTCCTCATAAAAAGAGGAGAGACACGGTCACGTGGGGAGAGGGCCAGGTGACAACGGAGGCAGAGACAGAAGTGACGCAGCCACAAGCCAAGGAAGGCCTGGAGCCAGACCGGAAGGTGGGAGAGAGGAGGGGCCTCCCCCAGGGCCTTCAGAGGGGGCACGGCCCTGCCCGCACCCTGGTTTGGGACCCGTCACCTCCAGCACAGTGAGAGAATTCCCTTGCTGGGTTAGCTGACTTGTGATCCTTTGTCAACCAGCGTCCCAGAGGAGCCCGTACAGTTTGTGACCCTCAGCCTGGGCCTAAAAAGTCAATTCCAGGCCGGGAAGCCCAGCCAGCCCTAGGCTCACCATGTCCTAACATGAACCACCAGAGGTAATAAGCAAACTTGACCCTGGGCGTGCAAGGACCTGGGATCCTATCGCTACGGCATACAAAACAGTTTATACATAAAACGAATAGTAAGGATGACAACGAATGAGGTACTCGGCTTTCCAGTGGGAATGACCCAACAGTCAGGAATCAAGCAAATAAATGTTTATGTTGCTCCTCCCAGTCCCGCCCCAAGGAAGAGGGGGAGAGAGAAAACCTCAAGCAGCTCGCACGGTCTAGAGGATGCAGACCCACCCTTGCTAAGACAGACAGATGGCTATGTGACCGTGAATGAAGAAAACCAGCAGCCGATGTACCTGGCCTTGAACTTCAGACCCCAAATCTTACGGCCACAGTTCTACAGACCCTCTGGCCTGGCCAGGCAGGACTCTGGTTTCCGGCTATCCTGCCTGAATCCAGGCCTGTGCTGGGCTGAGCCTGCCCTCACTTTCCTGGTCTCACCTGACCTTCAGGACCTCGGCCAGCCACGGTGAATGCCATGGCTGTGACCCACGGCATTCACCGCCAAGCCCATGCAGCTCAGGGGCTCTACACTCTAACAGGAGATGATGTCGCCAAGTCCTTCCAGACCACTGTCCAGGGCTCCCTGCTCCCTCCTCCACACTCCCCCGCTGCAGCCCCCTCCCTGACCTTAGCTCTTTGGGCCTCTGGACTTGGATCCTGGTGCACTGTTATCTGTTCTGCAGAGAAGGGCTCCAAAGAAACCTGGGATCACCCTTGGAGAGCATCCCCTGCTTTGTAAGATAAAAAAACACCTTTTGTCCCGATTTGTTTACAAATAATCATTACATGGGCTTTAAAATGTCCATGAGAGGGGCACCTGGGTGGCTCAGTCGGTTAAGCGTCCGACTTCAGCTCAGGTAATGATCTCACGGTTCGTGGGTTCAAGCCCCACGTTGGGCTCTGTGCTGACGGCTAGCTCAGAGCCTGGAGCATGTCTTTGGATTCTGTGTCTCCCTCTCTCTCTGACCCTCCCCTGCTCATGTTGTCTCTATCTCTCTCTCAAAAATAAATAAAACATTAAAAAAAAAAAAGTTCATGAGACCCCAGATGACCAGTAGGTGATAGGCATGAATTTTAAATTATAGCAAAAATTAACTTTGTGCAAACTAAGCAAACAGAATGTAAATTATGGGAAGGGTCCTTCCTTCTGGTGTAGAAACAGATATTCAACTATTTGTAAAATTATTGAAAAAAATAATATTGAATATTGAATAAAAGCACTCCCAACAAAGCAAAGAAGTTAATCTACTGCCTTGTTGCATCATCTCGAGTCAGTGACTTTAAAACCATCACTGCTACCAACTCTCTGCATTGTCGCATGGCATGTGCTTCCTACTCTACCCGTCACCCTCGGACAGTGGGCAACGCATGGTCAGAACCACTGTCCCCCACTCCTCTGCTGAACTGGTCGGGACCCCCTCCACACACTCGGCTTCAGGCAGCCTCCCCACTGACTACCTAGCTGCGCTTGGTCCAGAGGTTCCCCACCTCTCTCTCCAGCCCACTGTGCCAGCCAGAAGACTCTCTGGAGCTAATCTCCACCTCTCTGGCCCACACACGGTCGCTCCCTTCCAGGAACACGCTCAGACAGCCTCAAAAATATCTTTCAAAGAGCCATCCCCATCCCCTCCTGGCTTTTGGACATATATGACATAGCCAATGGTAGGGTCTGTGTGTTAACAGCCAGCAGAGCAGGCCTGAGGCCGCCGTCCCTAGAACAGACTGGCCGCAGGCTGGCCCCAGCCAGTGTTGGCAAACTTGGATTTCAGAAGGGTGGTTCGCTGGGTCCGGACCCTTTGCACAGTGTGGTCTGTGCTGAACATTTATCTCCATTCCGGGACTCTGGGATCTTGGTCCGTGCCAGGCGCAAGTGCCTACATGACCAGGCCCCAGTAAAAATCCTGGGCAAGGAGTCTCTCATGCGACGTCCTGGTAGACAAGATTTCTTCTCTTTTCTTTCTTTTTTTAAAAGTAGGCTCCATGCCCAACATGGGGCTTGAACTCACGACTCTGAGATTAAGAGTCGCATGCTCTACCCACTGAGCCAGCCAGGCGCCCCTGGTAGACATTTCACACCTGCTATCACAACTCAGCTGGAAGAATTAAGTGCATCCCGAGTGAGTCCACCGGGAGAAGACTTGAAGCTCACTCCTGGTTTATTCTGGATTTTGTCCCATGTGCCTTCACCCTTTGAATTTTGCTCTGTGTCCTCTCACTGTAAAGAACCACAGGTGCGGCTACAATTCTGTGCTGAGTCCCAGGAATCCTCCTAGTGAATCACTGACTTTTGAGGGGTCGTGGGGACCCCAATACAGGGGCCCGTTATACTTCCTGACCAGACACGAGCACATAAGGGCTCAGAGGATGCCCTGCCTTGTTCTGGCTTAGAAACCCCATTGCTCAGGCCACTTCCTTCCTTCCCAGAGCCCACAGCCCACTGCCTCGCTACACCCTCTGGTCCCTCTGCTCCTCTGGTCCCGGCTATCTCCTCTTCCCTCTCTGCCTCCTAGGCCGAAGGGGGAACCCCAGGGCTGATGGAGCGGGGAGACACCTCAGCCAGAAGGTTCTCATCTGCACAGCAGACCCAGAGCCTCAGACTTGTCCTAACACACCCAGTGTCAGAATGGGCACAAATAGCCTTATTGACTGAACACACGCTTTTGCTTGCACTCTTTGATGACTATGTTTAAACTTATACAGATGCTGTTGTGATGATTATGTGCGTGTCCTTTAAAAGTAATACTGAAAAGGGCGCATGAATGGCTCAGTCGGTTGAATGTCCGACTCTTGATCTTGGCTCAGGTCATGATCTTACGGTTCGTGAGATCAAGCCCCACATCAGGCTCTGCACTGACAGCGTGGAGCCTGTTTGGGATTCTCTCTTTCCCTCTCTCTCTGCCCCTCCCCTGCTCATGCGTATGCTCTCTCTCAAAATAGATAAATAATAAAAACATTTTTTTATCTAAAAAAATGTTTTTTAATGTTTTATTTATTTCTGAGAGAGAGCAAGACAGCGTGAGCAGGGGAGGGTCAGAGAGAGAGGGAGACACAGAATCCGAAGACAGGCTCCAGGCTCTGAGTTAACTGACAGCACAGAGCCTGACGCGGGGCTCAAACCCACAAACCGTAAGATCATGACCGAGCCAAAGTCGGACGCTCAACCGACTGAGCCACCCAGGAGCCCCAAAACATTTTTAAATATTTTATTTTATTTATTTTTTTTTAAATGTTTTATTTATTTCTGAGAGAGAGCAAGACAGCGTGAGCAGGGGAGGGTCAGAGAGAGAGGGAGACACAGAATCCGAAGACAGGCTCCAGGCTCTGAGTTAACTGACAGCACAGAGCCTGACGCGGGGCTCGAACCCACGAACCGTGAGATCATGACCTAAGCGAAAGTCAGACGCTTAACCGACTAAGCCACCCAGGCACCCCTTTTTAAATATTTTAAAGTAACACTGAAAACACTTCTTTTAAAAATACTCGCAAAGACTATAATCTAATGTGCTAAGGATACAACTATGCAGGGTTCAGGGGAGTTTTCAACATTAAAAAGGGGGATCCTAGCCTCAACCAGGTTGGATTCCCCTCCTAATTACCCCATTCCCTCACTACTGTGGCTGAGGAAAGGTGGGGAGGCAGCAGGGAAGGGCCATGCGGTCAGTTATTTCGCTCTTTTAGGCCAGCCATACGAATTTTTCTTAAACTCTCACACTGACCAATACACCAGAGCAAAATAAGCCGTCCCCAGAACTTGGAAACTAGGCACGCCAAGCCCGGCAGGAAAGATGAGCCACCTGGAGAAGGTGGCCAGGCCACGAGGCAGAGGTGAATGAACAGTTTAGGTGCAGGGACCGACATCAGACTCCACACCCGCAAAACAAGAGTTCCACCCAAAACATACCCCCAGGAGGCCAGTAAGAAGAGACAAGGCGGGCTGGTCTCAAGGCTCATTTCTTCTTCACCTTTTGGTAGCTCAACACATTGCTGGCTCAGCAGGTCCAAGTCAGCTCTAGGGAAGGACATGCTGATATCAGCTACTGAGCTATGGAAGGTCCACTTTCTAACAAGACTGCTTCCCCAACCAGGGATGATAGCTGACCCTCTCGCCTTTCCCTCTCTATGGAATGAGGGCCATGATGGGAACTGCAGCCAGCCCCAACATCTCCCCACCTGACGGCGATGGCTGGAGCTCCTTCTCTGCATATGCTAGCTTTCCCCAACACATGCTATCTCACATGTGCACCAGGTACAGCACCCTGCCTAGCTCAGCTCCACGTGTCTCTCCCCGTTACCTCTAACTTTAACACACATGTGCGACAGGCCCTCTGCGGGATGCTAAATGAGATGTGTCTCGCACAGGCTCTGTTCTGCCAAGGACCGGCAGAAGTGTGATCTTTCCAGTTTCAGAGCATTTCAGATCTCTCACTGATTAACAAACAGACTGGCACAGGAATTTGGTTGGACACTGTTACCCCATGTGTGAGGCAAAGGTTCCAAAGCTCCAAGTGGGGAAGGAGCGTGCCAGGTTGGCAGACAACCACAGCGCCAAGTTTAGGACGGGGACCTTTGAGCTGACACTTGGGTGCCCTTTCTGCTGGCTTAGTTGTTGCTATAACCAATGATATTGATAAACCTTAAAAAAACAAAGCATCGAACTTCTCTAATTTTTAAAAATTCTTGGGGCGCCTGGGTGGCTTAGTCGGTTAAGCGTCCGACTTTCGCTTAGGTCATGATCTCGCGGTTCGTGGGTTCGAGCCCCGCGTTGAGCTCTGTGCTGATTGCCAGCTCAGAGCCTGGAGCCTGTTTCAGAGTCTATGTCTCCCTCTTTCTCTGACCCTCCCCTGCTCACGCTGTCTCTCTCTCTCTCTCTCCTAGAAATAAATAAAACATTTTAAAAAAAGAAAAAAAAGAAAAAAAATTCTGATTACCCAATAAAGGTTGCTATGACAGGACCTCGGTACAAATAAATGCTCCTGTAGCTGCTGCTAAACGGCAGAGTCCAAATGGCACTGCTGGGGCCGGAGCGGGGAATATGGGAGTCAGGACTCAGCACAGCCAAGCGACAGTTCTCCTGGGGGGCTAGTTTTCCCAAGGAGTCGGCAGACAAGTTCTCTGTTTAGCAAACTGAGGGAAAAATACTCTGTAACCTCAACTTCTCCCATTGGAAGCTTTTTATAACATGAGGACTGAAAAAACAAAAGGGCTTTTAGGTTCAAATGATTTATAAGTGCTTATAATTAGTGCTGATTTCCCTTGATTTACTGAATCGGGAGTAAGCCCAGAAATCTCCATTTTCACACCTCCCGTGATTCTGACACATTCTCAGCTTAGAATCACAGGGGAGCACTATAGTCTGGTCACAGGCTGGAGTCCTGCCCGGAACCTGCTGGAAATGAAAAGTATGTGGGGGAACAGACCCCTGAAAACAGGCTCGGCCCTCCTTCTTCCTAGGAGCCAGCCATCAAGCATAGTGCGTCTGTGAACTAGAAATCACAGGTCACTGCTGTAGACCTTTAAGGAGGAGGGAATCATGAAATGCTGAGTTCCACCCAAAACAGGGTGGCTCTTCAAATGTCACTTGAATGCCTTCAGTAATGGGTTGCTCACCACATTCCCAGCAGCTAGTCCTATCCACCGGCCCAATCTGGCAGTTCAGAAGTTCTGGACACACAGACGAGGTACAGTATGGGAGTTGGGGCTGGACCTCAGGAGCGAGGCTGCCAGAATTCCCTGCTTTGCTGCTTTCCTTCTTATTAGGCAGGATCTTTCCATCTGATGGCAAGATGCCATAGCTACTTAACCCACTTGGTTCTCGGTGAACTCATTTATAAAATCGGGATCATAATGATCTACAGCCTAGGGATGTTGTAAAGACTAAATGAATTAGTATAGGCAGTGCCTGGACCAAATGCTGGGACGCAGTTAAGTGTCATGATTAGTATTTTAGAGCCAAACCCGTCAGCCTGACGTCCACCTGCCCCTCCAGCTACATAGAATGAGCTCTTCCGCACACACGACTCCTGACCTCGAGTGCCTCTTTATCTCCTGGCTAAATACACCCAACTCTTTAGGCATCTGGAAGGGATGGTTTCCAGGTCTTTCACCTTCTCCTCAAGATTAATTCTTCAGGACAAAGTTCTTATAAAATGGAAATGGGAACTGACTGTGGCCAGAGTACGTGGTTCAAGCAATGGCCTTCTTCTGCCCAAAAAAAGTGGAGGCAAAGTATGGAGTGTGTGTGTGCAAGGGATGCAAACACGTAAGGCACGAAAGAGGGAAACACGCTATTGGCTCGGGGTCTGAACCCACTGTCCTCCACGAGCCCCACCTCACCTCCTCTGTGGCTCTCGAGCCTCCCTCAGGCAGCCAGAAGGAGAAAAGCTTTCTGGATTGACGCAGGATTGTTGTAACTGCGCAGCCTCCTGGCTCACTGCCACCATGCTGGTCCTCCTAAAACATTCCTTCCACCCTGCCTCTAGCCCAACATGAAAACCACAGCGTCGGTGCCCACAGGACCAGTCCATCCTTCCACGGTCCTTCCGGGCCTAGACCCATTCTCCCAGAGTGCCTCGGGCTTGCGTTCCCAGATCGGCCTCTGCGCCCTGCTGCTCCCCACTTATGGGCTGTGCTCACACATCCCTGGGAATTTGGGAGACATATTGGACAGGAAGACAGGAGGCTTTCTCTGTAACTACCCATCTAACTGTCATCTACTGCTCCCCAAAGGCACTGGAGCCACCTTCTCCGCGAAGCTACAAGGTGTGAGGACACATCCTTCCTGGAACAGCAGAAGAACTGGAACTCTCATTTTGTAGAAGAGGAAACTGCGGCATGAGGAGGGGCTAGCACAGGACCAGTGGACATAATCTGAGCAAGAGCGTCCTTGGGCTGCTTATGTGCACAGCCAGAGCCGCGAGGAAGGCTGCCTCTGCTCCCACAACTTCCACTTTTCCTGGCTTCTCCCAAGAGCTTGTGGGCCATTAATGACTGGAGGGTCTGGTACAGTGCGGGCTGTGCCCGGCCACACAGAATGCCCCAGCCACCATCTCAATAACCACCCACCTCCAAACCATGGGTCTACAATTGGTTAAGGTTGACCCAACCTTATGGGCCAAACAAAAATTACAGAACTGGCTGCGGGCGCTCACCCAGAGGAACGTGCGACAATTCCCCACTGGCATCATCACGTTTCCCTGGCACCTTCCCAGCCCCGCACTGCCCAGGCTATGACAGATGGGGCTCTTCCTCCAGCTCTCGAATCTACACGCCATACCTGGTGGATAAAACCTGGGACCTTGTTTCACGCCCCCTCCCCCAAAGGTCCAGGATCCTACCAAGAATAAACGCATCAGATGTACTCATTCCCGAGGCCTTCGTGCCCACAGCTGCCAGTATAACTGGCAATGAAAAGAAGCCACGCCAAGGGGGGGGCGATGCGGACCCAAAGGAACGAGTTTCCAAAGGTGCAGGCAGGCTCCACGTCCAGGGTACTGGGGGGCGAGGACTGGGGAGGGGTTGGAGTCGTCCGAGGAGCTGGACTTCTCGGCATGAAATTCTGCGCCGCAGGCCCGCCTGGCCGAACACAGCCCGACCCCAACGTTGGCGGGTCCCAGGTCTTTGTCCCTCTCCCTCCACCCCCCCACCGGGCCGCACCACGCCGCGCGGAGCCCACTGGCCGAGTTGTCTGTCGGTCCGTCGGTCCTTCCGTCCTTCTGGGTTCGCCTTACCTGGCGCGCCATCCCAGGACTCAACCTCCGCTCTCCGCTTCCGGCGCGGCCCGCGGCACCCGCTCTCCGCCCGCAGACTGTGCCGCGACCCTCGGCGACAGCGGCGACCGAGGTCAATGCGGATGGAAGCAGGGCTGGGGGTCTCGGGCAGTGGGCGAGAGGCGAGGCTGGGCACGCCCGGGCCGCCCGGCGCCCCCCACTCCGAAAGACGCGGTCCGGCTTCCGCCCGGAGACCCCCGGCTTCGGTGGCCCGCTGGGCGCAGGCGCGAACTACTCTTCCCAGAGGGCGCCGCGGCGCCCGGAGCGGGACGGAGTCGGGGGCGGCTCGGCGGGAGTCCCCTGCCCACCTGCCCCGCGCAGTACCCGGGAAGCTGCCGGGAAGGAGTCGGCGCCCGGATCCGCCCGGTGGCCAGCCTGCGGGTGTGTTTGCACGCGGGTACGCATTCATCCATCCACCATCCACTCTTGCATCCAACATTTACTGAGCGCATCCTCCGTGCCCGGTGGGGATGCTCGGATGAAAAGGGCCCCGCCTCTCCCAAAGGTCACATCCCGTAAACCGACAGTTTCCGAGGCCACGAGGAGGTGTCGGGGGAGGCGGACGCAGGGGTGAGGAGGGGGCCGCAGGCCGGACGGCGCGGGCCGCGGTCAGGGGTGAGTCAGAGCGGCTACCAGACCCCGGCGCAACCCCAGATCTGCCAGCCCGCTCCCTTTGCTCGCCGCAGCGTTGAGCCGGGTCAGTGTGACCAACTGCTGGTCTATTTGGTTGATTCGGGCAACCCCAGAAGTTCCTGGAACGTAGGAGGTCCTCAAATAAATGCGTGATGAGTGAACGAAGCACGGGCCCCACCATTCTGGTCGGGACGCGGCGGGCTGGGGGCAGGGGGAGGACCCCGGCTGAGCACTAGGAGCCTCATTCCGGCCCTGGGGGACCACTCCCTGTTAAAACAGCACAGAGAAGGTGGGCATGTGGAGCTGCACCGGCTCTGCGAGACAGAGACAGGGGTCCACCCAAGCGGAGAGGCCCAGCGAACCGGCTTCCCCCGCTCCCATCCCCACAGTCTCTTCCTCTAGAATTAATTTGGGGGAAGAGAATTTCTGCCCAGCAGTCCCAATGTTGGTCCCTGGAAGAGCAGCTCTGGCCTGCCTTGGGTCTCCTCTGGCATTGCTGCTGGTCACCTCCCGGAGCTCTGGGGTACAGTTGACATCCTTGACCCGGCCTCTCAAGGAAAGGCCTCTAGGGGACCACTCGCAGTCACTGGCCAGCTTCATACCCGGGGCCAAATCCCCTCCCCCCTCCTTAATACCTAAAGAATTGTCAACACAGACCGGCGTGTGTGTGCAATCGGCTGTAGGAGGGTTTGAAAATATCACAAGGGTTTCATCGTGGGGAAAGAAAAGCTTCAAGCTCACCCTCTGATCTCAGGATCCCTAAAGGCCATAGCCCCTTGTGGTAAGCCCCTTGCCTGTGCTGCCTGCCCCTGTTCTGCTGAGGCAGATTTCCTCCCAGTAGCCAGGGTGTCCCTTCTCCCAGTGCCTCCCCCCCCCCCCCCCCCCCCCCCCCCCCCCCCCCCCCCCCCGTCTCAGGATCCCTAAACTTTAAAATCCCTCAATTTAGAAAAGAGTAATATCCCAACCCAAGACACACCTTTATTATAGCATGTGCAGAGTCTTCGCATCTCTTTGACTCAACCTCCCCCTACCTGACCGGGCTTAGACCCCATTTGTAGACTCTGGGTCCACAGTTAATAGAAATTTACCAACATCCAATCTGTTGAATGACCAGTTTGCCGATTGAGGAACCTCGTTCCTATCCCTTTTAGTTGTACCTCTGACCCCATTCCTACATCCAGCCCTGCCTCTGTATCTGCATTGCAAAGTGATTGTGGAGAACTACCCTGAATTCCATTGAAAGTGTTTATTTAGCAGTTCTGGACAGAGACAAAGGCAGGAGTGTAGACGGAACACATTTTCTAAAGATTCTCAGTCATTCAGATTGGTTTTTAGCAAATCGATATTCAGTGTTCTAGTTTCATCATATTTTGGCCTTTGGCCACCTGGCCCTTGAGCGAATTGACTTTTGGTGAATTAGTCGGCTATGGTTCTCCGGAACAAAAAGGCCAGCTTCCTCTTAAAGATAAATGGTACTGTCCCCTCCTCCATGTGAAAATGGCTGCGATTTAAAACTATTTTCTGGTTTTCATTATTTTTATTTTCTATTCACGAGGTTATTGAAAAGTACTTTTTAGTTTCCAAATGCACGAGTCCTTTTCAAAGTTATCTTTTTCTTATTGAATTTTACCTTGTACTAAGAGAGTACAGTATCTGATGTTCATTTTGTTTAGGATTTTCTGAGACTTGCTTTGTAGTCAAGGAGGTAATAAATGTTTGAAACTATTCTGCGTTTGCTTTGAAAGAGCATGTATATTTTCATGTTGGTCGTAGGATCTAGTTCGATCTAGTAAATCAAGCTTACTGATTGTGTTGTGTCCTATCATTTTTTGTTTTTTGCCTTTGGATGTATCAGTTACTAAGAAAGATGTATTAAAATCCATTAATGTTGTGTATTTGTCAATTTTTCCCTGCATTTCTGACACTTTTTGCTTCATATATTTTGACACTGTGTATACAGTATAGAATTGTATCTTCCTGGGACAGTCCGTTTTATTATTATGAAGTAATAGTCTTTGCCCTAATAATACGTTTCATCTGTAATTCATTTCATCTGATAATGATATAGCGAAACTAACTTTACTTTGGTTAGTATTTGTTTGATATATATTTTCCCATCCTTTTATCTGTATATATAAGATACATATATTTATGTGTATTTTCTATGCCTTTCTTTTCATTCTTCTATTGCATTGATTGCTTTTCTTTACTCACCTTTGACGAATTCACTTTGATTCACCTCTTTCTACTAATCTGAAATTTATTTAATTTCATCTTCTAAAGCCTAAATTAAACCCTGTACTGTTAGGGGGTTCTCTTTAAATTTTTACACACACACCACCTCGTTTGATATAGTCTAACATTAATTAGCATTTCCACCCTCCTTTCACACAATAGGAGGACTTTAATGTATTTATTCAATCACATCATCGCTCTTGTCTTCTGTGTAATTATTCTCTTTAGTTAGATTTTATCTTTTTTTCAATTTCTTAAAATGTTTTATTTACTTTTGAGAGAGAGAGTCAGCATGAGCAGGGGAGGGTCAGAGAGAGAGGGAGACACAGAATCCGAAGACAGGCGACAGGCTCTGAGCTGTCAGCACAGAGCCCGACGTGGGGCTTGAACCCATGAACCGTGAGATCATGACCTGAGCTGCAGTTGGACGCTTAACCACTGAGCCACCCAGATGCCCCTAGTTAGATCTTATCTTTAAGCACCCCCCTACTCATTTTTTGTCTTGTATAATCTGCTATTTAGATTTACCAGTGTGTTCACTGGTATTTTGTTCGCTATTTTTTCTCTTGCCTCTTTCTCCTTCTGGGTTGAGTGTTCTTTTTCTGAATTACAAGTTTTAAAGTTCTTTCAGCAAGGATATCTTAGAACTAAATGCCTTCAGTTAGATTTCTTCCACACCTGAATGACAGTTGAGCTGAGTGGAGAATGCTAACTTATATTACCATCTTTGACTTATAATATTTTATTCCATTGTCTTCTAACCATCATTGCTTCTGTTGAAAAGTCTGCTGTCATTCTTTATTCCTTTGTACATGATTTGTCTTTTCTCTTTGGCGCTTTTAAGATCATCCCTTTGTCCATGGTATTATGAAGTTATCATTGCAATGTGCCTGGGTGTGGATTTAGCTTTTTCAGAACTCATTCCTAAATCTGAGGTCTTTGTACTAGTCTGAAAACTTCTCAGCTATTGTATTGTTTAATATTGCCTCTCCTTCATTATAATTTATACTTGCAGACATTTGTCTTTATTCTGCATCTCTCTTAGCCACTCTTTTTTGTTTTGCATTTTTTTAGACCTTTGTGCTTCACTCTTGGTAGTTTTTTAAGATTTATATTCTATTTCACTCACAAATCTCTCCTCTCTCTCTCTAATCCACTAATATAGTATTGATTTCAGGTATTGTAATTTTCATTTTACATGAGTCTGCTTCATCCTTTTAAAAGTCACATATTGGGGCGCCTGGGTGGCTCAGTCGGTTAAGTGGCCGACTTCAGCTTAGGTCATGATTTCACGGTTCATGGGTTCGAGCCCCGCATTGGGCTCTGTGCTGACAGCTCAGAGCCTGGAGCCTGTCTTCAGATTCTGTATCTCCCTCTCGCTCTGACCCTCCCCTGCTCACTCTCTCTCTCTCTCTCTCTCAGAAATAAATAAAACATTAAAAAAATAAAATAAAAGTCACATATTCCTATACATTCAATTTCCTACATCTTTAATCATTTTAACATTTTACTTCATAGTATCTATATGGTCATTCTCTTCTCTGACATCCTTTATTTTGTCTGATGCCTTTCACTTATGGTTGGCTGATTCCTTGTATATTTTATTATTTTGAGCTGTGAACCCATTTTAAGCCAGGTCTCATCCGTGGGAGTTCTGTGGGGCCTGGTTTGCTGATGTGCCCTTCAGAGATTGTGTTTGCTGCTTCTGGTAGTCTACAGTCATTGTTAGCCTGGGCACATATTATCTGTTGCCTTTTAGCTTGGGGAACTTCTGAACCATGCAGGTAGTGTAAATTCAAAGTTCTAACAAGGATAGCTCTGTAGTTATGAATTTTCAGGGCAATTACCGCCCGCGCCCCCCCGCCCCGAAAAGAGAAAGACCTCTTGTGTGCTTGGGCTGGTGTTTTACTAGTCCGCCCTTTTACCAATGGTGCTGCGACTGAGAGTCTGACTTTATATGTGGGAGGGGATTCCAAGTCCGGACCTAACCTCCTGGATTCACATGGCTGTTAAAACTCAACATTGAGGCCATCTCACCACAGCCGTGGGTGTCCTTGGGGTCAGAACTTTAGTTCGTCCCCCACCCCACCCCCAAGACATCCTTTATTGTCATGACAGCCCAGCTATACTTATGAATGGATATTTGTGCTATTTTGTCTTGCATTTCTGGGTGCTTTGAGGTAGGAGGAATTTTAGGTGATCTAGTCTAGCATATTTCTGGTAACAGAAATCCTTTATCTTAAAACAGCACTCTCTTAAAAAAAAAAAAAAAAAAAGAGCACCTCCTTTGTTTGGCTA